GTAAGTATTAATGTTATTTATTATATGTAATTATTTGTGTTTATATTTGAATATATTTTATAGATGACTAAAATTTCCAAGTGAAATATCTAAAGTTAATGTGTTCTACTGGCAACAGTAAAAGTAGTATCTCAAATTCTCAAAATTGCACAGAAATAGCTCTGATGTAAACAGATCAGGCTAGGCAAGAGATATGCCATGCAAGATGGACTTCCGTAGCATAATACTTGCATGACCTAGATGTAAAGCTATCTTTAGAACTGGCGGTTTGCTGCTTTCCTATAATCATCATCATTCTCTGCATATACTACCGATTATGGTGCAACCTCCTTTACATATTCATTCTTCACTTCTATCCACGATTGTCTAAAATTCGCTTTTCTGTGCCATTTTGTACCGGCTTGTTTCCTTATGTCCTAGTCTTATGTTAAATTTGGACGTCTTCTTGGTCTCTTGACGCCTCTTGGATACCACTTTGTAATTCTAGTGGACCACCTTGTCAGTTCTTGTCAGTTCTTCTCACTAAATGTCCTGCCCTCTGCCATTTAAAAGATTTAATTCTATGGATTACGTCAGTAACCTTGGTTTTCTGTCTGATCCATTCTATTCTTTTTCATCTCTCTTGGTTATACCTAGCATGCATCGCTCCATTGACCTTTGAGTGACTTCGAGTTTCCGTATTATCTCTTTCTTTAGTGTCCAAGTTTCGCAGCCGTATGTCATGATGGTAGTATATACTGATCGAATGAATTTTTCTTCAGTTGGATTGGCATCTTAGATTTGAATATAACTGCATTTCTACCAAAAGATGCCCAAGCCAGTTTCATACTTGTTGGTTTCTGGAAATAAGGAACCAGATTTATGTATTAATTGTCCCAGGTATACATACTCGTATACTGTCTCAAGTGAAGTTTTGTTTATTATTACATCTTGGACATCCACTAGCTCGTTGTAGACGGTTTTTGTTTTTGTCAAGTTCATTTTTAGGCCAACTTCATTGCTAGTTGCAGTCGCTTATAAATTCTTATAGTTCTGCATGATTATTAACAATCAGAACGATGTCGTCTGCAAATCTTAGATGGCTAAGGTATTCTTTATCAATGGATATTCCTTTTTTATGCCAGTTCATTTTGCTGAATATATTTTCTAGAGTTGCAGTGAAGAGCTTTGGTGATATTGCGTCTCCTTGTCGGACGCTTCTGGTAGTGGGAAATTCTGGATCGTTTTCATAAATTTTTACTTTAGCTAATGCTTGTCTGTATATATTTGCTAAAGTTTGTATGTACGGTTTGTTAATGCCTTGGTTGGTCAAAGCTTCTATTATTGCCTTGTGATATATAGAATCGAAAGCCTTCTCGAAATCTATGAAGGCTAATGCTAGCGGTATTTCATATTTTTTAGCCCTACTCATTAGTTCTCGAAGTGTATGAATATGATCCATTGTACTGAATCCACTTCTGAAGACAGCTTGCTCTCTCGGCTGTGAAACATCTAATGCGTTTGTTAATCTGTTGTTGATGATCTTTGTGAATATCTTGTATATGATTGATGGTATTACTTATCGGCCTGTAGTTTTTGATATCTTCATTGCTATCCTATATATATATATATATATATATATATATATATAATATATATATATATATATATATATATACGTCTTTTTTCTTAATAACTAACACATCTAGGAATGGAAGTTGGTGGTTATTCTCCCGTTCCATGGTAAACTGTATTTTTGGGTGGATATTATTAATGTGTTGTAGGAATTCGTTAGAAGAAAGAAGACGGGAGCGTAGGACACACAGTATACCGAAAACCAACCCATACTGACAGGTACTTACACGCAGACTCACACCATCATCTTGCACAATTAAATTCGGTAATAAAAACCCTAATAACAAGATCTGAGAAACTGGCAGATAAGGAACATAAGAACGAAGAAATGCAAAACGTCAAAACAGCTCTAAGAAAAAATGGCTTCTCCATGTATACAATTGAAAAGGCTCAGAAATCCCAGCAAAGAGGAAAAACCAGTCGGAAAAACTATCCTGCCCTATTTAAAGGGTACTACAGACAAAATCAGCAGAGTGCTACGTAAAAACAACATAGAAACTATTTTTAACACCGACAAAAAAATCGCAACCATATTACCATCGGCAAAAACAAAAGTTGCATTGGAAAATCAAGGTGTATACAGAATCCCGTGTGAGGACTGCGATAAATCGTACATCGGACAGACAAATCGAAGGATACAAGTTAGACGCGAAGAACATCGAAACGCCATCGAAAGAAAACAGAAAACTTCATCTCTAGCACAACATGCCATCAACACAGGACACAAAATCGACTTAAATGGAACAACAATGCTAGCCAATATCGAAAATAAGGCCAAACGTGTAATCAGGGAAGCCATAGAGATTGAAAAACATCCAAAAAATTTAAATACCAGAGACGATGCTCAAAGACTCCCAAATACGTGGAAACCAATTCTGCAGAAAAACGTAGAAATTAAAATAGCGAAGAAGACCCCGCCCACTTTGCACACAGGACCAATCACAAGAAGCGCTTCAAGGTATTTAAACTTAGCGAGCAGCGACCGAGAAATCAGTAGACGAAGACATCGACTTCATAGAAGAAGTCGAAATACAAAGAGAAAGACCGAAAAACCTAAACGAAATTATCCCTCCAACAACACCGGAGGAGATAAACGAGCTAATCAAGAACAGCTCACCAAAAAAGGCTCCCGGTCCAGACCAGATCACGAATAAAGTACCTACCAGAAAAAGCCATCGTTTATCTAACCAATCAATATCATAAACGCAATGCTAAGGTTTAAAAAATTCCCAAACAGATGGAAAGAGGCCCATGTCATAATGCTACCAAAGTACGGCAAAGACAGCACATTCCCACAGAACTACAGGTTTGCTGCTTACTACCAGCAATCAGCAAAATAGTGGAAAGAGTGATACTCAGCAGACTCCAAGCTGAAACTGACAGATTAAACATCATACCCGAAGCCCAATTTGGCTTCAGAACAGAACACTCCTGCGAGCTACAAGTACTCAGACTAACAGAGAACATAGCAGCTGGATTCAACGATAAATAATACACAGGAGCTGCATTCCTGGATGTAAGTAAAGCATTCGATAGAGTCTGGCATAAGGGACTACTATACAAAATGAGAGGATACGGGTACAGCGGAGCAATGACAAGGCTGATCTCTTCTTACTTGAGCAACCGCAGTTTCAGAGTCCGGATAGGACAAGTCCTGTCCGAACTCGGGAACCCGGAAGGTGGAGTACCACAGGGAGCAGTACTGTCAAATCTGCTATACACGATATACACAGCAGACATACCTAGAACACCAGGTACATTATTAAGTCTCTATACCGACGACACAGCGATAGCGGCGAAACACAGAAATGTACACATAGCAGTCACCAACCTACAGACAGCGTTAGACGACATTGAAGAATGGAGTCTAAAGTGGAAAATTGCAATTAACTCAGATAAGACGCAAGCTGTACTTTTTCAAAAGAGGCGAGAACGACCGGAAGAACAGGTAACTGTGCAAGACAATCCCATTGAGTGGAAAAGCGAAGCAAAATACCTCGGGGTAATAATGGACAAAGGACTAACCTTTAATAAACACGTAGAAGCTACGGTACAAAAAGCCAACATGGCAAGGGCCGCAATAAGAGGCCTAGCAGGAAGGAAAAGCAAACTTCGTATAAAAACCAAAATAAGACTTATAAACAGTATAGTCCTTCCTATACTGACCTACGCGTCACTTGCATGGGGTCATATATGTAACAGAACCAAAAAGAAAATACAGGCACAACACAACAAAAGCCTAAGAGAAGCAGTAAACGTACCAAGATACGTAGCTGAAAGATTCCTTTTCAGAGAATTACAACAAATCAGAGTGACTGACACTATGAAAGAAGAAGCTAGGAAAAAGTTTGCAGAAATAGAGAACCACCCCAGTCACATTCTACGAGAGATAATGAGGTATGACGCTTTCCACAGATGGAAGCACAAAAGACCAAAACAACAAATAGTAGACTAAAATAAAACCAGAGAGAGAAATAAAAAACCCCCCCAGATGGACAGAATTCAACAAAAAGCCCTGAGTGAGAAGAAACTTCAAATCATACCACACACACAAGGAAGACAGATATTTATTATAATATAGATTGTACACTAATTATGATTTTTTGTCCACAGGTGACCTACAAAAAAAATTACAAAAAACACAAAAAAACCGGCTTCGGCCACCAAAAAAAATCAAAATATACTAACAAAAAACCCCAAAACCCGGGCACGTAGGGCCCAACCCCCTTGAGCACCAAGTCGCCGAACTGAGCTGGGACTCAGAGCAGAGACTTGAGGCCCAAGTAAGCAATTTTAGTTCGCGGATAAGCCACATTAAGATAAACAGGAATAAAGCGGAGATGCGCTGTCCTGAGCTTTTGCATTCGGTTAGGAAACCAGGTTGGGGTTCTATTACCCAGGACCTCCACATGAAGAGCACTTGGCTGATTGTTGTGCCTCTATAGCGAATCAGATTGCTATAGGGGGGAAAGGGATGGTCTAGAGCATTGGAGCACGGTGGGGTGACTCCTGTTTTTACTCGAGTTAACACACCTTGCTCCAATGAATTGTTACACCCGATCGTACTACCTGGGTGAACATTTCTCATAGGCTGGGTTCAATCAAATTGCTTGCTTGCTTGCCGAGAAATCAGTTCTCCTGAAACATCAAGGCGAAGCAGACTTAATCTGACTTGACAATGGCAAGTGTGACCTTGCCGAAACGTCGTCAAAACAATGGTTTTTCTAAAAACCAAAATTACTTAACGCGGAGTCAAACCCGGAAAACAACTGAAATCACATATAGCTCCCGCGGAAATTTCAAATCCAAGATATATATATATATATATATATATATATATATATATATATATATATAATCGACAAAAGAAAATAAACTATACTTACTATAAACTGATTCACATATATTTTTGGCAACCAGAAATGGTTTACAATTTCCAGACAAGTCAGAGCTCGTCATACAAATAGCTTTTATTAGAGTTCGATGTCGGGCATTGTCAATATCTAGCATATTTCCATTAAGAAGTTGTTGCAATTTCATTCGAAATTTAAAATAACTGGCTAAGTCAGTTGCTAGGATAGCATCTTTAAGTTCCTTTGACAATATGTTGTAGTCTTCTTTAGTCATATTATAAATCTGTAAACCCTAGAAGCATAAAAATTTAATATATATATATATATATATATATATATATATATTTATATATATATATATATTATATATATATATATATATATATATATATATTGTATATATATATATATATATATATATATATATATATATATATATATATATATGATATTAAATATAATAATATATAATTTATTTGACTGAAATTTTCATCTACAATATTTTGCTTATCAGAGAAAAGTTAAAAATAATTAATAAATTTTATAAATTAATCCCTCAGGGTTATTAATCCCTCAGTTATAAAACCCAAATATAAAAAAGAACAATTTATTGACATGAAAAAAAAAAAAACAGAAATATGGAGTATGTGTGAAGAAAATTCACACTATAGTTTATTTTTATGAACGAGTGAGTAATTAGCATAATTTTAACTGGTACCTCCGACCACTCCATCCAGACCAAGAGTTTGAAAAAATTCACATTTTTTTTAATTTTTAAAAATTACAAAAGAGAAATTTAAAACCGTCTAAGGTATGTTAAATAGATGAATAAAAATATTAATATAAAACTTACAGCTACTTGTTACAAATCCAAATCAGATTCAGAAGATGAACTTTCAGAACCAAGATTTATAATAACTGGCTCGATCATTTTATCAGTAATATTGTCCAGCTTCCACATTTTTTCCTCTTCTTTAAAAGTGTGATTTACTGCCTTTTCCCAGTTTTCAGGTTTTACATTATTTACGGCCTCCAAAAACAACTGTTTAACATCATGAATTTTAAAAGTGGTATTTTTTCTTGAAACTTCACTCTTTATCTGTGCCCATACCAGTTCAATCGGGCTTAATTCACAATGAGATGGTGTGGATCTAAGTACTGTCATTCCACGATTTTTGACAATTTCATCAATTTCGTATTTTTAAAATGTTTCTTTGTGAAGGGCACACAACGAATAAAGTTCCTTTCTTATAGATCCGGGATGGTACGTAATATTTTTTGAACTCAGCCAATTCTGCAAGTCTTTTTTTAACCACTTACTACACAGTTCTTAGGAAGAAGATCTATCATTTGTTCGAACCATTCTTGAAAGACATCAGCGTTCATGTCTTCATGGTAGTCACCGGTACGAGTTGATTCAAAAGTTAATAAACCACCTTCAACACAACCGTCTGAACTGCCAATGTGTACTATTATCAACCTGCGTCCCTTTCCTGATGGTGGGTTTAAACCAGTAGATAAGTTATTTACAAAAGCGTGCCTTTGACTTGTAACAGTTTCATCCTGCCAAAATTTATTTGGTGTATGACCCTCGTTGATCCATGTTTCATCAAGATAAAATATTTTTCTTTTTTGGTTTCTCATTTCCTTTATGGTTCTTAGAAAATGTCTTCTCCATATGACAATATCGCTTCTTTCTAATAAAATAGACTTTCTGGGATTCTTTTTCCAGCGGAAGCCTATTTCTTTTAAAAGTTTCCATAACGTACTTCGACTCATTTCTGGGTAATCCTTATCATTTCGAACTGAGACAAGAACTTTATCCAATGTTGGAAATTCTTGTCTAAAGAAGAATTCATGCACTTTCCGTCGAAGTCCTTCTTTAAAATGATATTCTATTTGAAATTTTGGTTTCCCTGGAGCATTATGTGGCATTTGAAAACTACCACATTTCTCTTCTTTAATAACTCTGTAAATCGTAGATTTCCCAACACCAAGTGTACTGCTAACTAACTAAACGGTCTCATCAACACTTTCACATAAACGTTTGTCTGTAAATGATTTAAAACAATTAAATATTAATGTTTTTTCATTAACTGTTAAAGGACCAATTTTTCAGCGTTTACACGGCACTTCCAAATTTTCCATAACACTAGTATACACAATAAACTGCACCTTGCAACTGAAGTACCTACTTTTAGTGAACTGTTAGGAATTTTGAATACGCCACTTGGACCTTCCTACAAAATGGAAAAACCCACTATCACATTTTCTGTGGAATAAGTTTAGAAGGTAATTATCTAGTCAATTACTGTCGTAGATTCCTGGAATTAAAGAATTAAATGTTTGATTGTTGAAACCCTTACTTCGTGGAATGCACTCATTTCAGATAAAATAAAACGTTTTATTTTATCTAAAGAATTAAACTTTATTTTGCAAATAGGTAGGTACATATTAAACTTTTATTGGTTATATATAACCAATAAAATAAACATCTTACATTTCTTGCAAATTCATTAGTACCTGTTAACCTCCATCACTCCGACACTGGCAACCTTATTTAGGGATTAGTAACCCTCACAACTGTTGTATTCTATTCTGCTCCAACCTTTATACCTGGTGGTCATACTCAATTTAAAATTGTTTTCCTATATACTTCTGTAAACTTGTTGACAAATATCTGTTTTTCATTGAGTCACCCGTATAAACAGTTTAGGGATTTGCATACATAATTTATTGTTTTATTACTCTCTCATACATAAAAATACACTAAAAATAAAGTAATGCTTTGTAAATGCAAAAATATGTATTCCTAATAATTATCGGATCATATAAAAAACTACTTAATGACAGTATTATTACCATATCCTTTACAAATAATGATAATAATAATGAAATGAGGTCAGTCAAGACCATGTCGACAATATAGCGTCGAACTATTGGCTGACATCAGGAAAGATGTTTCCTGAAACAGAAGGTTCACTACTGGCCATTCAGGATCAGGTTATACCAACCAAAAATTACCTGAAATATATCGTCAAAGACCCTCAGGTCCAAAATGACAAATGCCGATATGGATGCCAAGCTCCGGAAACCATTCAACATCTTACCGGGGGCTGTCAGGCATTTGCTGCAACTGAATATAAGGAACGGCACGACTCAATAGGAAAGATCCTTCATCAAGAGATAGCTATCCTTCTGGGACTTCTTCAAACAAACCCCCTTCCATACTATCAATACGTTCCTGAGAGTATACTTGAGAATAACTATAAGCTATACTGGGACGCACATTAATTGATGTGGCGATACCCAACAACAATAATCTTCGTGTTAAACAGAACGAAAAAATCGCCAAGTACAGGGATCTGGAAATTCAAATACGAAGACAGTGGAGAATGGAAAGTACCCAGACAATACCTATTATTCTCTCTACTACTGGAGTCATTCCAAAGAACCAACTAAACCAAGCCAACTAATCGGTCATATCTTAATAGTAAAAATTTTGTTTTTGTTTAAGGCATTAAATACATAGGCTTATTCTGGGCTGAGCTACTCATTTGGTATTATAAAGTGGTCAAAAACGGATATAGAGAGTCTTTATAGGAAAGCAAGAACACTTCTTACAAATGCGCAAACAAAAACATCATCCACGCAGTGCAATAGAGAGAACAGCATTACCGCGATATTAAGGTAAAAGATTACCATGGACATAGGTGAGTAGCTGGATAAACAAGTTGATAATTTAAGAACTTATTTTCAGGTGCAGGCTGAGACATCTACTTTACATCGAGCAATTTGCGTAGCAGATGATACAACGGCGCATAAACATGAAGGAACAAGAAATGCTCATAAACCACCTAAATAAGCAAGAAAAAATGCGCACCTAGATAAGTAAACCTCTGCATGGGCGACATCTCAATGAGATCAGCCAAAAATATGTCGACAATACAGCGTTAAACTGTTGGTTGATATCAGGAAAGATGTTTTCCAAAATTAATGGTTTCCTACTTGCCATTCAGGATCAGGTTATTCCAACAAAAAATGATCTGAATATATCGATATATTTGATCTATATTGTTAAAGATCCTCAAGTAAAAAATGACAAATGCCGATATGGATGCCAAGCCCAAGAAACCATCCAACATGTTATCGGGGGCTGCCAGGCGTTTGCCGGTATTGATTATAAAGAACGCCGTAACTTAGTATTAAAGATTATCTACCAAGAACTAGCTGACAAACTGCGACTTCTCCAAAACGACCATCTTCCTTATTATCGATACGTCCTTGATGTAATGCTTGAAAATGACAACTAAGCTATACTCTGATCGCACTGTGTTCACAGATGAACCAGTGGCACATAATAGACCGGATCTCATACTAGTTAATAAACTAGACAACACAAATAATTTGCGTGTTAAATACAACGAAAAGATCGCTAAGTACAGAGATCTAGAAATACAAATCAGGAGACAATGGAGAATGCAAAGTACCCAGACAGTACCTATTATTCTATCTACTACTGGCGTTATTCCCAAAAACGTCTCTAGAGAACATAAAACAGCTGAGTTTAAATGAACATCTCTATAAGGCCATGTAGAAAACTGTACGAAATTTTTTGGGAGATACTAAAGCATACAAGTCACCTAGGGCTCGATAACACGGAAGAAGTCCCACCAGAGCTTAATACTTTTGATACTGTAGGTATCTGTGATGAGTGCATGTTCTCCTTAGTGGGAGTGTGAACCGTATGGCTAAATCTAGGATAATTTTTCACAATATCTAAAACTACTAAAAACTACTAAAACCACTAAAAAGCTCTTTTTAACATAAAATAAAAACAAGCTTTCCGATGAAAACAGTCCATTTCTGGCCTCTGATAAAAAATAATTTTTCTTTCAAAATTTGTTTGAAATATATCAGTCTTAAAATCACAAATTGTTTGTCTCCTTCAGACCACATTCAGAATCATAAAATTTTCGAGCCACGTCAAAAAAGGAAAGCAAATAACATACAATGTATCTCGAAGTAAGCTATCTTTAATCTATTTATGACTCCCGTACAACAAACACTAATTAACACAATTAAATTAACTTTCTTTTTTTTAATTTACTGCTTCTAAACTGCGTTCTTCAAACATTTATTCTATGATGATTTCCTTTCGTCGCTCTCTTATTGCTATCTTTTCGCTTCTCTCCTCCCAAAAGAATTCCTAGTCAATCCTTCTTCAATTTTCTTAGCGACAGACTTTTCTATCCTACCTTAATAGAAAACAAAACCATCTCTTCGTAATCA